AGCCGGGGCGAGCTGGGAGCTGGCTCACGGCCCCCCGCTCTGCTCAGTGCATCCACAGGGACCTGGCGGCCAGGAACGTCCTGGTGACCGAAGACAACGTGATGAAGATCGCTGACTTCGGCCTGGCCCGCGACATCCACCACATAGATTACTACAAGAAGACGACAAACGTGAGCGGCGCGGCTGGGCAGCGCTGGGGGAGGGCTTTTGCTGGAGGAAGCACAAGGGCAGCGCTTGGAGACGGGCGGTCTCCGAGCACGGGAATGCCCTCACCCGGGCTGGAAATGCCACGTCCTCATTACCCCTCCCGGACCCACCTGCTCCTTCTTGGCACTGAACTGATGGGGGACTTTCTTGCACCCCAGGGTCGCTTGCCAGTGAAGTGGATGGCTCCAGAGGCCTTGTTCGACCGAATATACACTCATCAGAGCGACGTGTGAGTAGCCAGCTGCAGCGTGTGCGCTCCTTGCGTGGCTTTGCATGGTCGGGAGCTTCTCAAGCACTAGGTTGGATGAGGGTCCCGCTGGGGGTGGGAGATGGTGAGCCAAAATCGCTGCTCTAAGGGGAAATTCTTGCTTTGCCCTCTCTTGGGCAGGGGCTCAGCGACGTGGCTTCAGTGATGCTGCCCCTTCTCGCCACCCCGGCGCAGCAGTGCTGCTACTGCTGGCCGCGCTGCCCAAGTCCCGCCACATCCTACAGAAGCAGTGTCCTGCCCTGCTGTACCCACCCAGCAGCTCTCGTGTGCTGCTGAATCTGGTGTTATGGGTATATTCGCAAAGGTCAAGGGTACCAGATGTGGTTTGCCTGGACTCAATGAAAATCAGAGAGAAGATTTTGGATCCAAATTATTTGGCAACGGGACTTGTCTTCCAGAATGAATCGAAGCTGTCAACCCCAGCTCTGTCCCTGCCTGTAAACAAACTCTTAAATGTCCCCAGAGATTGTAAACTGGTGCCTGAGCTCCTCCCGATGTGACCCACGAGAGCCGAGCTCTGCTGTGGGGTTCACCGGGGCCCGGCTGGAGAGGCCAGCGGGTTTGCGCTAGGGTATCGAGAACCTGCATTTGGCGTTGGGCGACGGACGGCACCCTCCTCTGCTCAAGGGATGCAGAGGAGAGAGCCGAGGTCCCAGGGCTGCTGGAGCCGGGTCTGTGCGCCAAGGCAGCGGCCCAGGGCTGCCCTTGCAGTCTGCCCAGATGCAGCTTCCTGCAGCTGAACAAGCGCCCGCCCTGCGTTTGCTCCCGGGCAGGTGGTCCTTCGGCGTGCTGCTGTGGGAGATCTTCACGCTGGGCGGCTCGCCCTACCCCGGCGTGCCGGTCGAGGAGCTCTTCAAGCTGCTGAATGAAGGCCATAGGATGGACAAGCCCAGCAACTGCACCAACGAGCTGTGAGTGCGGCGCTGAGCCCGGCTCTGGCAGGCGCCCCACGGGCGCCCGTGCCGCTTTCCTTCCCCTTC